CAATACCACGTGGCAGCGGTCACGAAGATGACACGTGGCATCTGCCACGTCGACAACCCCTCAGACAGTAGTGCGCCAGCCAGCATGCTGGTCGCACAACACACTCAAGCCACGAACCAACGACGAGCGCAAGTCATCAAATTCTCCCCGCAGCGTCTCGCCAGCAAGACAGCATATAGTCGGCGTTTGATGCGAGAGCATCGAGTCCCCCTAGACTCCAGACGAGAGTCTAGATGTCGAAGCCAGGAAGTCAGCTCGATATGTAGTGTTGACGGCGGGGTCTGGACCCAAGTCCTCAAGTCAGACACTGCCGAGATCGATCGTCCTCGACGGCCTGGATTGAGTTGAAACTGTATCCTCCTTGGTCCACCGTTCTGACTGGGTACCTGCACACATACAAGTCAATGCACACGACCAAGGGCCTGGGCGAGGTACCTGGACCTACAGTTGACTTCTACCTTTGAATTTCTTGCTGTGCGTGGTCACACAGCACCCGCAGCGGCCTGAGGCCGAGCAGCGCATGGTCGCACTGCTCACTGGGCCTGGGCTTGGGTTGCAGCGCCCAGGCCGCTGCTGAACGCGGTTTACTGCATTCCTGCCGGCCCGAATTCGAGTTCCACCGCAGAAATACTTAAGACTTCAGTCTGCGTTCATAGCTAGCAACAATATCAGGAGCAGTATCCATCAGTTCCCGTCTGCTAAACCAACGGTCTTCAGAGGCATCTTGGAACTGGAATCTCACTTTATACTGCTTCTGAGGTCTGCCTCTTCCACCAGTAGAAAAGAATCCATGGTCAGTAATTTTCTCAACCACATAGCTGTCATTCATAGACGGAGGTATAGCAGATGGTCGGTGAAGAAATTTTGTTCCTTCTACATATGGAAGCAGTTTAGACGCGTGAAAGACGGGGTATGTCCGAAGATGAGGGGAAATGTCGATTCGGTAAGATGGTCCATCTGCATCCCCTAACACCTTGAGAACTTTCCAGGGTCCTAGATAGACAGGCATCAGTTTCTGAGAAACATCTTCTTCTAGAGTGAACTCTTTGGACTTAACCCAGACCAAGTCACCAACTTGAAAGGTAGACGGGCGTCGGTGTTTATTAGCTTGCTCAATCATGCGCTCTTGGGTTTTTCTCAGATTTTCCTTCACCTTTTTTATGTCTTCTTGAAACAAAATAGCATATTCCTTTGTCCCTGGTGGAAGTTTAAGAAACTGGTCCCTAGCTAGAACATCAATGGGACGCTTAGGCTTCCAGCTCTTATGCGGTGCGTTAGGTGTGCGTCCTGTAGCGGTATGCACACTATTGTTATATGCACCAGCAATCTTGGGTAAGTTCTCGTCCCAGTCTATTTGGTCAGGACGGACATACATTCTCAGAAGTTGTTGGACTAAACGGTTCATTTGCTCAGACTGACCATTCGTTTCAGGGTGTCTACCTGACGACATGGTGAGCCGTGTACCGTAGGCCTCCATCAACTTCTACCAAGGCATGCTTGTGAATCTGACATCGCGATCAGAGACGATAGACATAGGGAACTCATATTCAGTTACCCATCGCATTTGAAATTTAGCAAGCACGAGCTCAGTCTTGGCTTCCGCAGGCAAGGGTATGAACATAGCATATTTAGAGAAACGATCAACCACAACCATAACTTGACTATTGTCATTTCGGGACTTGGTGAGTTTCATGAAGTCTATAGACACAGACTCACCTGGCTCACTCGGAATAGGTAGTGGTCGGAGTAAACCCAAAGGGTTATCATGAGACGGTTTGTTCTTTGACATACTTGACACGTACGAACATATGTTAGTACATCCTCTTTCAAACCCTTCCATTCATAGTGCTCACGCACCTCAGCATACATCTTCTTGAACCCAAAGTGTCCCTCTGTATCATGACATTCCCCAATTAATAGACTTTTAAGTTCTTCCTTGTGAGGAATGCACAGTCTCTGTTCAGTTTGGTCCAACTGGAATCGTAAGCCATCAGACAATCGATAGTGAGGAAGTTGGGATGGGTCCTTGGCTAGGATATCCATGATTGGTTTCCAGACGGGGTCAGTGACATATCCAGCGCGAATCTGATTTTTCACATCATTCCCAACATCCAGGTAAGAGACTATAGCCCCAAAGAAATCACTCCTCATAGATAGTGCGTCTGCTACAACATTAGACTTACCTTTAATAGTTTTGAGTTCGAAATCGAAGGTATCGATGAAAGCAGACCAACGCACCAACTTGTCAGACAATCGAGGTTGTGTCTTGATCCACTTGAGGGTCGAGTGGTCCGAGTACACAGTAAAATGTCTGTCAAGGAGATAGTGTTTCCCTGTCTCTAGGGCGCAGACTAATGCATACAACTCCCTTTCGTAGGTGGAGTTGGCGACCTTTCCGCACGGCAGACGTTTAGACATAAACTCAATAGGGCGGTAACCCTTGCCGTCGTCTTGCTGTAAGACAGCGCCAACACCGTACTGACTCGCGTCAGTCGTAACAATGAAAGGAAGAGACGGATCGACAATCTTGAGGACAGGATAGTGAGTCATCACATGTTTCATCTTTTGAAAAGATGAATCACAATCCTTATCCCATAGCCAGACAGTACCTTTCTTCAACAATCTTCTCATCGGTGCAGCGATAACAGAGAAGTTCCTAACGAACTTCCTAGAGTAACTCGCCAAACCAAGAAAGGATCGAAGGTCTGTCAGAGTCTTTGGCTGTGGCCAATCTCTGATTGCCGAAATCTTTTTTTCCTCGGGCCTCAATCCCTCCTCGCTCACTATATGTCCTAAGTATAAGACTTCAGTCTTAGCAAACTCGGATTTCTTTGGGTTGTGTTTGAAGTTTCCCTCGCGTAACTTCCCGAGTACTAGACGTAAATGTTTCAGGTGGTCTCCTAGTGTTTTACTGTACACTAGAATGTCATCCAGATAGACGATGACGAAGTCGTCGAGCCATTGCCTGAATAACTCGTTCATTGACCTTTGGAAGGTCGCAGGTGCGTTTGTTAGACCGAATGGCATCACGATGAATTCGTAATGACCATATCTCGTACGAAACGCGGTCTTATGATGATCGGCGGGATCCACCTCGATCTGGTGGTACCCGGACTTAAGGTCGATCTTACTAAAAACCTTACAACCCTGCAACTGATCCAAAAGATCGTCGATCCTTGGCAAAGGTTCGGCGTTTTTGACGGTGACGGCATTCAACCCTCGATAGTCGATGCAAAGGCGCAGCTCACCTTCCTTTTTGGGCACAAATAAGAGAGGTGCACCATAAGGAGAGGAGCTCGGGCGAATCCATCCCTTCTCCGTCAACTCTGATAATTGTTTCTTAAGTTCCTCAAGTTCCCTTGGAGACATGCGATAGATAGGGCCCTTGGGAACCGTGCTACCGGGCACGATCTCGATCGTGTGCTTGATAGCACGCGAAGTGACCCCGGTAGGCTCAGACATAACATCAGCAAACTCCGTTAGGAGTACATCTATTCCAGGAGGATGGGTAGTTGAAGACTCACTTGCTTTCTTAACTAACAACATTACTACCTCATCCTCTAACTTCTTCTTTGCAACCATCAATCGGAATGCAGGGTAGCTCATGCAACAGAAAGACAAGACGGAGTCAGACCCTGACCGATGATACAACTTAATTGGTTGCAATTCAAACGATTCATCCTTGATTCTTACTTCTTTCTGTTTGAAATCAATCTTGGGATCAGCTTCCTCGTGTCAATCCATTCCCAATATGATATTAAATGGCATGTTCTTCTCGATTAGAAAGGGAAGTTCATACCAAATCTTCTTCCCATCCTTAGTACTGAACTGACATCGAACACGATCGACGTACTGCGTTACCGTCATCGTGCTTTTATCAGCCAACATAGACGTGATCGGCTTAGACAAAGTTTGGATCTTCATGCCGAGGTGCAACTTGCTGATTGCACATTCAGATATGTAAGATCGCAGGGTCCAACATGGCACCAACGTGTGTGCGATTGACAACCAAGTCGGCAACCAATAGTTCCCCTTTAGACTTGGCTTTCTTCGCCCACGAACTGCGTAACGCGACTAGCTCGCTACCAAGTTCGTCAAGGGAGTCGTCTAGAGACAGGCATAAGACAGGAGTGGGGTTGTCCGGACGACGCGCGGAAGGGTTTCCATCCTCTGCCACGAGAGTCGGAGTGTGGAAAGGGATCGTAGGCGCCTCGCATGTGATCGCACCCTCCGACTCTGTAGAAACAGATGTTATTCCTACTGGCTTCTCCCTTTTGAGTTCCTAATCAACGGACAAAAGGCAATGACATGCTCCGCAGTGCCACACTTGAGGCACTGCGCATTATCCATTATATCTTGCCACACCTCCCGGGTGAGTCCCATCTTCAGCCAAGGTCTGCCGGCCGCAATCCCAAGATGGTATGGGAAGGAGCGTGGTCTTCCCTTCAGTCAAGTGTTCGATGACGGTCCTCCCTTGTTGACCGTCGCAGGGGTGACCTCCCCCTTTCCGTGGTCACTGTTGCTTTCACGACCACCCTCGTTCTCCAATGGCCATTTTTCCATTGTATCGTCGTCGAATACGACGAGGGTGTGGTCTTGGCGCTTTTGACACCATATGACCCGCTTGCCGTAGCCTCCCCGACTGCTTCCTCCCCCATTCTTTACGGCAGCAGCATAGGAACCTTTGACTTGCGAAGTTATTTGTTCCCACTGCAACGCCAGGTCGCGGAACTGTCGGTAACTATACTTACCGGACTTGGCCTCGGCGACCAAGTGCCCTCGGATTGGTTCGGGTAATGCACACAAGTAAATGTAGAGGACCCGAGAGTCCTGCAGGTTAAGACCGCGAACCTGCAACAGTCGGTCAACCTCACGAGACAACGACTCAACTGAAGACCAGGACCTTTGTCCTATCGTGGTGAGTTGGTCGAAGGCCTTATCGGCCGTAGTCTTCTCCAAAAAGCGGTCCTTGACTTTTGCAAGGAACTGCTTCAAGGTCATAGTCTTCGCCCAATCACCTATATCGTCAAACCCCGCGGCATTAGCTTCCGCCAGAACCCATTGTTTCACCTCTCCCCCCATACAAGAAGTGGTGAACGCAACTTGCGACTCTTCTTCTACTGGGGCAGTCCCAACGTAGGTTTGGATCTCAGCGATCCAAAGAGGAAGGCTTTCTTCTTTCTTGTTAGAAAAAGTAAAAGACAATTTCATCTTCACCTTTTCCTTTTTCTTTGACTTAGTCGGATCTGCAGGTTTGGCATTGTCCTGAGAGGGAGTGGGACCGGAAGGACCACCATTCCCATTGCCATTCCCGTTCCCATTCCCATCTCCATTGTCATTCCCATCAGGTTTCTTCTCTTCGGGTTTCTTCTCTTCGGGTTTCTTCTCTTCGGGTTTCTTCTCTTCTGGTTTCTTCTCGGTTTCTTTTACCGTTTCCTTCTTCGTTGTGTCGCCATTTTTCATTCCACCAATAAGCAACTTCTCGGGCTTGACGTCCGCTCTTCTTTCTTTATCTTTTTTCTCTTCATCATTTTCAAGCATATGGGCTTTCCCCTTGACAATGCTGGTAATGACATGAAGGCCAACAACGAATTCATCCATTCTAGATTGCTGTTGGTCTAACTTTTCTTCAAGAAAAGTCAAATACGTCAATATTTGTCCGAGCGTCTGAGCAACATCTTTTTCATCTAAGGAAACGTGCTGTTGAACTCTACCCATTCTCTGCTGCAACCTAGTTTCCTGTTCTTTTCTTTGCAACAGTTCTTCCCACTTCCTTTCTTCTTTTGCGAGTGTCTCTTTCAACTGTTGTATGTTCTCTTCAATACTTTCTACCTTTACTTCTGGCACTGTATCCTTCCATTGGGCAATCTCTTCCAACTGCTGGATGGTGAATTGGTCCAGTATCTCACGACACTGGCCAATGACTTTCTGAATCTCTGTTGCTGCCGCCACCATCTCTACACCCGTGGTAGCTTTGGCCAAGTGATCAGAGATCGCTTCAAGGTCAAACTTACCACGGATGTGTTCTCTTGCGGTCGGGACAGCGAATTCCATGTCCACCAGCAGCTGGGAAAGAAGTTCTCCCAATTCACCTCTTCGTGCCTCGATCTGGGCACGTGTACGCTGTTCCATCGAAGAGCTACCTGCTCCCACCGCATAAGCCACTTGCCCAAATCCGAACAGACGAGGCACTCACCGGGTCAGAATAGACTGACGCATGTGCTCAACAATCGGTGCCATGATTAACATCAACAGGAAACTTAACAGGCCAATCCTTTCTCAAAAAATGAAACAGACAATATTATCTGATGGCTGGACAGCCACTCAATCGTCAGTACAGCAGAGGATTCACAAGAAAATAAATAAATAAAAATAATTAATTATTCTCTTGATTGATGTATTTTCTATAAGCTGTTCTAATTTTATTTTCTCTTCTATTCACGTGATGACTCCTCTTCCAGGTAATCGAGCAGGCCAGGATCGTTAGCATTCCCGGGTACGTGTGCACGCACAGCCAGACAGCAGGTAAGTACCAACAACAAAACCAATCAACGTCAGTCTTTCCCACAATGCCACGTCAGCATGAACTCTAATCACCCCGACAGCAAACAAGGACCACAAGCCAAAGTCTACCGCTCGTGCCGCTCCCCGCGTCAGAATGCATCAATCGTTTCCCAAGGCACGTCGTGCCTGCTTCGGCAAAACCCCCCGGCATGCCACTCAGCTTTCGCCAAGTCAACACTTCGAACCAATCAAAGATCGTGGGGGTGGCTTCAGCGGTGAATGCTGGCCGCTCCATTTTCTCTCATTTCCCGGATCCGTTCGTGAAGGTGATCTCCAACAATGTTGCACTCTACAACTCTGCTCGCCGCGTCCCCAACTCAACCAGCGGATGCCACGTCAGCACTTCATCTCGCCAATATCACGAGTTAACAAGGGGCCAGATCATCGGCTCTACTCGTTTCTGATCAGCAGATAGCGCTGCGATTCTTCAATCTTGTCGGCGAGAGGTCTTCAGCGCACTTCAAGAAGTCCCCTGCTCCAATCTTTAGTGGACGTGGATGTGCCACGTGAGCAATCAATCATCGTTAGGCAGGCATAAACTGCCCGTCATCACCATATCCTTCGTGCGCCTTGTCGGTTTCGATAGAGAGCATCCCGATACTCACTTACCTCCGCGCGCGAACGTGGAGAGAAAATGGCGCGCTCGTTATCAATCGCGTCGGAGAGACACGAGCGCCGTAGTAGACAATGTCGGAAGTAGAGCTCCGATACCAAATTGCAATGTGCCCAGTCGTGATAATCAGTAGTCACTCGCAAAGACAAGTAAACGAATACTGCTGATAAATCGTGATAATAATGATCCCAAAATGAGGGAGAATACATACACAGACGAGAGGGGGAGGAGGGAGAATAAACTTTGAGAGGGTGGAAGAGTCTCCTCCCTACATCCCACTTCCTCTTCGGGCACTTCCTCCTCCTAGTAGCATAATCAGCCTCAATCACAGATCCAGACATCCAAGACAATGTAGACCAAGAGTGCCACGTGGCACAAGCAGATCAGTCATTAATCAATAGCGTGACGACGAAGTTGAAGACACCAGGTACGTATCACGACCCCAACCACAGTCCTGAATCCTTCTTCCGAGTACTTGTCAAGCAGAACAGCAATACAGGCGCCCAACGCCTTCCACCTCAGCAGCAATACTAATCCTGTCTCTTATACACATCTAGATGTGTATAAGAGACAGCATCCAAGACAATGTAGTCCAACAGTGCCACGTGGCACCAGCAGACCAGTCATCAAGCAGCAGCGTGACGACGAAGTTGAAGACACCAGGTACGTATCACGACCCCAACCACAATCCTGAATCCTCCTTCCGAGTACTTGTCAAGTAGAACAGCAATACAGGCGCCCAGCGCCTTCCCCCTCAGCAACAATACCACGTGGCAGCGGTCACGAAGATGACACGCGGCATCTGCCACATCGACAACCCCTTAGACAGTGGTGCGCCAGCCAGCATGCTGGTCGCACAACACACTCAAGCCACGAACCAGCGACGAGCGCCGGTCGTCAAATTCTCCCCGCAGCGTCCCGCCAGCAAGACAGCATAGAGCCGGCGTTTGATGCGAGAGCATCGAGTCCCCCTAGACTCCAGACGAGAGTCTAGATGTCGAAGCCAGGAAGTTAGCTCAATATGTAGTGTTGACGGCGGGGTCTGGACACCAGTCCTCAAGTCAGACACGGCCGAGATCGATCGTCCTTGACGGCCTGGATTGAGTTGAAACTGTATCCTCCTTGGTCCACCGTTCTGACTGGGTACCTGCACACATACAAGTCAATGTACACGACCAAGGGCCTGGGCGAGGTACCTGGACCTACAGTTGACTTCGACCTTTGAATTTCTTGCTGCGCGTGGTCACACAGCACCCGCAGCGGCCTGAGGCCGAGCAGCGCATGGTCGCACTGCTCACTGGGCCTGGGCTTGGGTTACAGCGCCCAGGCCGCTGCTGAATGCGGTTTACTGCATTTTCTTTATTTACTGTATTTCTTTTAAAAATTTCTCGATTTGCGTGTTTCATCCGTCGTCTTTTTTTTAATGAAGAAGTGCGATGGCGTTAAGGTATTATCATCCCTCCGACTGACCGGCCGAGGTAATTCAGACTTAGTATTTTAACTTATTTTCCTCATCTGATTCCATCAGCACTCGTGTCACTCGAGCTTAGGTCTATTTATCAGTTGTTCTTGATAAATAGACCTAAGCGCGAGTGCTGATGAATTCAGGGTCGTTGTACCATTCAGCCACATAGGCTGGGTTACATGTGCCATCCTAGCGACAGGCCAATCGTAATCTTCGTTAATCTTCGCTATGTATGGTTCCCAACTTAATGGATGTCCTAAAGCAGTGAAGCATGTGTTCCCACATTATAACGGATGTCCTCTTAAGAAGAACAACTGCCATTTTTCGAACAAGTCATAAGAGGTTTGCCCAACTTCCGTTCTTCTTAAGAGAAATAACATCCTATTTGCATTCCGAAATGTTCCTGTTCATAATATCAAATTTGAGATGTTCATGGCACCTCAAACAGAAGAAGAATGATATCAGGAGAGAAAAAATAGGAAGGAAAGAGGGAGAAAAAACAGAAGAAGAAGAAGAAGAAGAAGAAGAAGAAGAAGAAGAGTCATCTGCTTCCTTCTCTAGCCACCATCGTATTCCTCTGTAGTCGTCTCCTGCACTTAACTAACTATGTAATACGACAATAAATGAATGTCATTGAATGAATGAACAAGAACCAATGTCCAAATGATCCGCGTTACTGGGAGTGTAGAAACGTACTAGAAAGCGGCGAAAACGCTCACCCAGGCACCCAAACTCGGATGGGTAATGATTTTCGCGCGGTCGTACCTTGTCTGCAAGAGCCTTGAAGGGAACATTCGAACTTGGTGAAACCTGACGGGTGGGAGCACGGAGATGCAACAGGGCCACGACGAGAGCTGACTTGGGAAGTTGGGAAACAATTGCAAATTGCAAGGAATCTGGAAGGTAAGCAGCTGCAGCGGTCCTTCATCTGCCCTAGCCCGCAGCCAGGGCCTATTTGGCTATTTGACAGTTCGGCCTGTGGGACCAGGCCGTGGCCTGACCCCACAGGCCGTGTAATTATTCAGGCCAGTCCAGTCAAGTCCAGTCAGTCCGCTGGGGGTATACCCCAGCTGCAACGTGTTTTGTGACTTATTCTTCATTTGCACAGATTGGAGTATGTGCGTGTTGAATCTGCGTTGGAGCTGCGCTGTCCCTTCCAGCTCCATCTCCATCTCCCCCATCCTCATCCCTTCGTCTTGATCCTGACGGACCGCCATCCYGGCGGGTCCGTCACACTGGTATCAGAGCAGGCTTTCCTCCCTGCTCCTCTCCCCCACCCACCCCACCTATCAGTTGCCACGCGGCTAAAGCAAAAAAAAAAAAAAAAAAAAAAAAAAAAAAAAAAAAAAAAACCCTCGCCACTTTTCTTTGGTAATGACACCGGTGCACTCTTTCGATTGTAATTTCTGCACCGGTAGTTCAAAGTTATGGATCTTTAGCTTGTTGAAAAGCTTTCGACGAGCCTCTTCCAACAAGCTATAAATCGCCTAATTCTGTGCAGTAGTTGAGGAGTTACGATCTTTCAAAGATCGCAATTTTTTTTAAAGCTCCAAAAAAAAAAAAAAAAAAAAAACCACCCGCGCTCTTTTTTCAACGAGCGCTATTACCCTAGGCAGTGGCTGATGCTGCGCCTTATCTCGTTGGAAGTGGCTTTTAAAAATCTTTCCAACAAGACCTCTTTTGCCAAATTTCACCCAGTGGGTGAAAAGTTATTGGCAAAAGAGTTTTTGCCCTCTACATCTCCTCTCTTGACCCGTGGCCATCTTCAAAAGTGCCACGTGGCAGTTTGCTGAGGATTTTTTTGAAGACCCCCCTGGCTAGGGGGCTGCAATACAGTGGAACTGGGTGGCTGATCAAGATCTCAGTCAACCCCAGATAATGTGCAGCAGCAGTTCATCACCACCTTGAAAACCCCTTCTCCCAAGGGGTGTGTGAAGGCCAAGATCTTGTGGATTTTTGTGAAGTTGTATGCTCTTGGTTACCCAAGAGCTGGGTATCACCTCTCTCATCCCTAATCCACTCTCCCACTCCCTTTTCCCTCTCTCCCCTTCATCATCTGACCTTCTTTTTCTCTCACCACCACTCATCAATCACCTTTTCTTACTCCACTCTCCACTTTTCTCATTTCTCTCCTCTTCTCCCCACTAATCTCTCATCCCCTTCACTCTTTCTCTATCCACTACCATATTTTTACTCTCTCATCTCCCAACCTCACTCTCCTTGCTTCTTTTCCCTACTTCTCTCCTCTCCTTCCCCTTAATCTCTCATACCCTTCCCTCTTCACTCATCTCCCACCATCTYTTTCTCTCCTCTCTCTCCACTCACCTTCTTTTACTAATCTCTCACTTTTTTCTTCACCTTTTTCATAGCTTTCTCTCTCATTCTCTCACCCTCCTCTCCTCCTTTCTTCCCCCAACTACAACCCCATCATCTCCCTCACCTACCACTTCAATCTTTTCTCTTTCCCACCTATTTTTCTATTTTTTCATCACTTTTTCATCCCTCACCCCCCCCCCACTTCGATTTTTTCTGTTTTTCTTCGTTTATCTTTC